CCAAAATGAGACCATTTGAGTCAAATTTCTAATTGTCTTTCAAATTTTATTATTGGCTGTAGACTTCCAATCATAGTCACATCAGTCATGTTATTTACTGGTATAAAATCCCTAAGCACCAACTAAGCACCAACAAACTATCGTGGCTTCCTTTGCTGTCTGATCACTCACCTTAGTTTGGGTATTCTGTGAACTTGAATTCTACTGCAAACTATGCAATGCTTATTATAAGTCATATGGACTTAGTTGCAATTATGACAGATTTTTGTTTCTAAAATTAAAAAAATCATAATCTCTGGAAGAGTGCTACTCTTTAGCTCTCAAATTTCATAATTTTTGAAGTTTTCGTTAGGCTAAAACGCAGGGACAGCTGACATGAAGACTTTGGTGACATCTGAGTGGAGTCAGAATAAGCAGACAAGGAAACGAACCGTTTGTTCTAACCTTTTTTGCTTTGTTCTTGGTGCTTGAGCATAAGATGGCAACTTGTAAACAACAAAACACCACCACATTTCGTATTACTTTTGTTTGCATGCCTGCTGCTTTTACTTCACAGATTCAGTGAGGACATTGTGCACATTTGTCAAATCTGCCTGACCTGTTTCATGCACTGAAAGCAGGACGGATCCCATATTTTGACTTCAGTACCATGTGAACCCTTATTCTTTAAATGAGCAATGAGACAGAGCATGCAGTTGACTATATATGTGGAATTTTCTCCTTGACAGACTTCATCATCTTAAGGGCAAACACTTAACTAAAAAAGAGTATCCTTGCTATTTAACAACTGTGTTGTTATAAAATGAAGCCAGTGTGTTCTCTTTGTCTCTAAAGCTAAAATTTCCCCACCAATCCTTGTCACTTTCCCCCTTCCCACTCCCGCCTCCTCAACAAGCCCTCAGAATAACAGGCAGAGACAGGGCCTGGGCACATGATAAGTGATCGATACATATTTATTTAGGGAGCGAATGAAGTCTGAAATTCAGTTCAGGCTAAGTATGCTTAGTGAGACAATAATTTTGTTACTAATTATAATTAATGTTCATTTAAAACATTTCTTCAGTCATCGATTCCAATAAGATAAGCAATACATCTACCCCAGAATAATATTCTAGATATTAGTCAGAAATTCTCAATCATAGGACATGGTTTTTCATTAATTACTGAAGCCTAATTAGTTGTCAGTGGACATGGGGCTCAATGTCATTGATCCAGTCTGAGTGTATCTAAGGACAGTCCTCTCCTGAGGGCCTGGTCGGGTGATCAGTTCTAAAATAACAACCAATATGATTTGAGGAGTTTGCACTGACCTTTTCCGGACACGGGCACTAAACAGCAGTTACACAAGCAGGTCCAGAGTGCTTCCCTTGCCCCTGCCTTCTGAGGAGCACAACGTGAGTTTTGTCCTTTTAGACATGGAGTCGGGGTGGGGTGGTTATTCGGTACAAATGTTTGGCTTTTAAGAAGTTTGAAATTAGTTTGTTTTCTGGGTCAAGAACACTTTTTCCTTTTTCTGGTTCTCCATGTTATTCTCTAAGACAGGTATTAGGAAGTGAAAGAAGCCAGCAAAAGTAGAAATAACCTGGAAAAAAATTCATCTGTGGAACAGTGACCACTCTTTGATTCTGTTGCTTTTGTGGTATATTCATTAATAACAAAAAAAAAAAAAAAACACAAACAAAGACAAAAAACCCTGCCCTTCTGAGAATGAACATGAAGGCTATTGTAGAAAAAAAAAAAAAAAACACAAACAAAGACAAAAAACCCTGCCCTTCTGAGAATGAACATGAAGGCTATTGTAGTATTATATTCATTGACACTTGTATCTCCTGGGAGCAGGACTCTGGCTCTCCAGCACCCAGGTTAGGAACTTTCGTTAGCGAGGAATCTAGCTTGTAACTCTAAGGACTCTCCAAATGGAAGTTTAAAGAAAGAGCCCTGCTTGCTTTTTTTTTTCTTCTTCTTCTTAATTCATGCTCCAGGCTATGATATCAAACAGATTAAAGAGAATGGGAAAGAAGCACAAAACTATTCTAGCTTGTTGGCAGATTCAGAGAGCTCCATCTTCAAATCCAGCAAGTCC